ACATACACACATACATACATACATCTATCTACATACATATATATATATGTGCGTCGTTTGTTTAATTCTTCACAAACTGTTTACTTATTTACTTAAAGAGAGAAAGGGGGAGAGACAAACACTACAAACTACACACACACACACACACTTGAATCCTTAAAACCCCAAACCCTTGGAACTACATAGTATAGGACCCTAAACCCTGAACCCTACACCCTTAACCGTTAGGGGCCTCAATAGTTACCAACGTTATCCCTTAGGATTCCTTGCCTTTTTAACTGTAAGGGAGCCCCCAAACCCCAAACCCCAAACCCTAAACCCTAAACTGTAAGGGAGCCCCAAAATCCTACTCTAATTATTAAGGCATCGACAAATTAGTTCTATGGTTGTTGGAAGCCTCGGAGTGTGAGGCTATTTGGAGTTAGGGGCCTACTTAAGATTTCGGATTGGTTTAGGGCGGCTTAGGGTTTAGGGTTTAGGGGCAACGACTAGGACTAGCACGATGTTTAAACGAACAGAAATGAGCTGTCGGCAGGGCGGGGCAATGCCCTCGGCAACAAGCCCTAAACCCTGAACCCTAAGCCCTAAACCTTAAACCCCTAAACCCAAAAGCCCCAAACCCTGAACCCTCAAGCCTAGACCCCTAAACCCGAAAGCCCTAAACCCTGAACCCTGAACCCTGCATGATGCTTGCTACAGCGACCCCTATGAGGCGTCTTCACAGTCCCCAGCACAGAAAACCGCTCAAACCTGACCCGAGGGCTCTAATGATTCAGAGCCGACCCTAAATCCGTTTAGGCTTTTAGCGTTTAGGGTTTACTGCTCTGTTATGATCCGGATTATGGGTTTTGAGACCATACTGTAGAAGGCGTTTGGGCGATTTTGAGCTTCGGTTTCGGGCTCAGGGTTTAGGTCGAGGACTTTCCTACCTGTTGATTTTCAGCATTTAGGGTTCCCAAACTCCAGTCTACTTCTTAAGCTGCCTGCATGAAATACGTGCTACCAAGGAGATTCTTATTCAAAACAGCAGCACCTGCTAAGAACTCATTAAGCCCCTATGAATAAACCCGAAACCCGAAACCCTAAACCCCAATCACTTATATTGAACCCCAAACTCTAACCCAAAACCCTTCGTAAACTCTAGACCCCAACAAAGCCAAACCCCAAACCCCAAACCCTAAACCCTAAACCCTCTTAAGGAACTATAGATCGCTCTAAGGGACCCTTTACAGGACCTTTATAGATCCCTTTAAGGGACCCTTTAAGGGACCCTTTAAAGGACCCTATAAAACCCTAAACCCCAAGCCCTTCGATGCTTCAAGTGCCTCCCAGTCGGCCTTCGATCCTTCTGTGGGAGTGGATCGGGCGTGGCACAAGAGGCTCATCGGGTCGTACCGGGTTTAGAGGTCAGGGCTTTAGGGTTTAGGGTTTAGGGTTTCAGGGTGTAGGGTATAGGGTTTTAAGGGTTTAGGGTTTAGGGTATAGGGTGTAGGGGTTTAGGGTTTAGGGCAGGGGCCTTAATAGTCAGACTATCCTAGGTGGTTATTTCTTAACCCCACGTATCGCTCTCTTAAAAGGAACCTCATTAGAGAGGGTCTATATCCCCAGGGGTCCCTGTAATCCTATATCCTAGACTAAGGTTCCTCTAGTTCAACGGGTTACTACAAAGGGTTGCTATGAGGTTTCTATGGTATAGGTGCCTTATTGATTACAGTGAGGTTTTGGTGTATATGGGGGTTTCCGAAAATAGGGGACCCTAATATAGTACCCTAAATAGTAGGATCCTTTTTATAAGGACCCCCCAAAACAAGGTACCCCTTATTTTCGGAAAGTCCCATATTCGACGATCATGTATTGCTTTCATCCCTAAGCCCAAACCCAGTAAGAACCGAACCAAGACCTTCACGCTTTTAGGGTCCCGGCACGGGATACGGCTGATGGACACAATTCTGTATGACCCAAGTACAGTAGAGTACCCCTTAATTCCCATAGTTTAAGTACATAAGGCATTCTGCATGACCCAAATATAGTAGAGTACCTTACTTCCCATAGTTTAAGTACATAAGGTATAAGTAATGCAGGGTTTTGTCCGTCAACCTTCAAAGTCAATCACCCGATCGTCAAACCCTAAACCCTAAACCCTAAACCCCTAAACCCCTAAACCCCTAAACCCCTAAACCCCTAAACCCCTAAACCCTAAACAAACGCCCAGAGCCTTGGCACGGTAGAACCTTGAGCAAAGGGGCCTTTCTTAAACCATACAATGATACGGCTGATGGACAGGATCCTGCATGACCTTATGTACCTAAACTATGGGATTTATGGTGCTATACTATATTTGGGTCATGCAGAATTTTGTCCATCAACCGTATCACTGATGAGATGCCCTCTTGGGGTCCTATGTGTGGAGGTTCCATGTCAGGTGAGTTGAACAGAACGTAGCGCGCCACCCCAGCCTGTACATGGCATATGATAGCCCATTCCTCACCTGTGTCTTTTTGAGGTCCGTCCTGGAAAGGCGCGGATTCTACAAGGTTTCTGTATATAAGGACTTCGAACGTTATTCAAAGACCTCTAAACCTTAAACCCTACATGAACACCCAAAAAACTTACCTTTCTCAGGACTTGTACCTTCTATAAAGATTTCATAATACGGAACCCTCTCGTCTAAAGTACGGAACCCTCTTGTCTAAAGAAATCATAATACGGAACCCCAAAATGCCAGGTTCTTTGGGGTCCAGGTCAATTAGGGTCCATGTACCCAAATAGTATGTACTTTGGCCTTACAGTATTCCCTACATAGGTACTTTGGGGCCAAAGTATATACTATTTGAGTACATGGACCCTTAGGGTTACGCCTATTCTTCAGCCCCCAGCTCCAACAAATCTCGAAGGGTGGTCATGACGCTTACCCAGACTTCCGGGAGAAGCCAAAAAGTAGATCCCTTAATTGGGGGGGGGGGGGGGGTTCTTTAAAGGGTTCCTTCAGGGAGGGTTCTGTAAGTGCTACTATAAGGGTTTAGGGTGTAGGGCAGGGGCCTTCATACTTAGAATAGGGTTCTATTAAAGGGATCCTTACAGGTGATACTATAAGGGCTACTATAAGGGTTCCAATAATGTAGGGGCCTTATGATAAAATGGGGTTTTAGGGCCCATAATTTTAATAAGGAACTCCCAATATAGCATTGGTAATTATTCCGCCCCTATATAAAGTCGACAGACAGATAGATAGATAGATAGGTAGATAGGATCTATAGAGTTCCTTCAAATGCTTTAAAGGGGGTATTAGAGGGTTTTAGGACAGGGGGCCTAATCATTAGAAATGGGTTTTCGGGTATGTTTTGGTATAAGTCTAGACAAGGACTATAAGGTGATGCTAGTACTATTTGTTCCGACCTCTGTGGTATGATGGGTTAGTAGGCATGCAGGGCAACTGCCTGTTTGGGAAGATTGCCTAGTTCTGAAGGCCACTTGCTAGAAAGCAGTCTTGAAAGGACTGCGGTAACTTGTGTCCCCAAAACCTCGAAGAATCAACCCAAGACCCAGGAATCAAAACACACCCACATCACCTCTAACCCCATACCCCAAACCGCCTGATCCCTAAACCCTAAGCCAGAACCACCTAAGGACTCAGGTAGAGTTAAATCCTTGAAGCCCTGAACCCACAAACCCTAAACCATAAACCCGGGCTGCAACCTACTTTCGATCCAGATCGGGGCCAAAGGGCTCATGGGCTCTAACCTGCTCTCGATAAACCCTAAACCAAACCCTAAACTCCAAAAACCCTAAACCGTAAACCCCAAAAACCCCAAACCCCAAACCCCAAAACCCCAAAACCCTAAACCCCAAAACCTCTAAACCCTAAACCCCAAAACCCCAAAACCCAAAACCCCAAAACCCATGAGCCCTAAACCCCAAAACCCCAAAACCCATGAGCCCTGAACCCCAAAACCCCGAAACCCTAAACCCCAAAACCCTTAAACCCTAAACCCCAAAACCGCTAAACTGTTTGGGGCCTTCCCATTCCAGACCGCTGTGCTGCAGCGCTAACGCCACAGCCGGGCCTTTGGCCCAAAGAGGGAAATAGGTGTACCTTGGTCTTTGGGATTATAGGGTTTAGGGCTTAGGGTTCAGGGTTTAGGGGTTAGGGTTTAGAGTTTAGGGTTTAGGGTATTTAGTCGGGAGCTTAAAGTGTAGAGTTTAGAGGCTTAGAGTTCAGAGGCTTGGAGTTTGGGGTTTTGGTTTAGGGTCTGGGTTTGGGGCGGCTAAGGGTTTAGGATGTAGAAAACTTTCTATTTTGCATGCCAAGGAGTAGGGGTGACGGTGATTTGCATTTCCCAAGCACCCAAAGCTGCAAAAATCCTAAACCCCTGAAGCCGAAACACTAAACCCTAAAGCCCAAAATCCTAAACCCCTTATGCCGAAACCCTAAGCCCTACACCGTTAAAATCCTGTATCCCTTAAACCGAAACCCTAAACCCTAAACCCCAAAAGTCCTAAACCCCTAAAGCCGAAACCCGAAGCCCCAAACCCCGAGACCCACAGCCTGGCTAGGCCAAGCCCATGCATCAAACCAAGAGCCGGGACCCTTCCTTAATGTAGGGGGCCTAAGTTTAGGGGTTTCAGGGTTTAGGGTTTAGGGTCTAGGGACCTACATCCGAAGTCCTCGACCGAGGAGCTCAAACGAAACTGAAGATTTGGATCCCCAAAATCAACTGCTGAGTTCTATGTTGCTTGCTGGACCGGTTGGTGCTTAAATTAAACCCTATAGACCCTGCACCCTAAACCCTAAACCTTAAACCCTAAACCCAAACCCCTTAACCCTAAACCCTAACCCCTAAACCCAAACCCCTAAACCCTACAAGCCCTTTTGCAGCGGGCCTGCCTCGTCGCCCGGAAGCTCCCTCTGCCCAGAACATGTCTGTCCAACCAGACCCTAAATCCCAGGAGCCCTCTTGCAGCAGGCTTCTGTAGCCCGGAACCTACAAGCCCTAAACCCTGAACCCAAAACCGCTATACCTGAGAGCTTCTCTCCAAATCCGAAAGCCCACCTCGGCTAAGAAACCGAAACTCTCCCAAAAACCCACAAATCCTGATCCCCAAAGCTGCCCCTAAACCCTAAACCGCTGAACCCTGTAGCCCTGAGCCCTAAACCCTAGAGCCCTGAGCCCTAAGCCACAGACCCAACTGTGAACTCAACACCTCGATGCGGCCGGGCGACTTCACAGTCCTCCTCCGCCTGCCGAAAGTTCAACGCTTCTTCGAAAGAAAGACAAGGTTGAGGGTTTCGATTCTCTCGTACAAGGCAGGCAGGGCTCAGGGCTTGAGGGTTTAAGTTTTCTTTGATCCGGTTTGGGGGTTAGCCTACAGGGGTTGGAGAGGGTTTGCCGGGTGCAGCGTAAGGTGCTAGGCTAGGCTAGGCACAATGCTTTCAAAGAGCAGATGTTGTGGCTAGCCGCCTCTCTTCATCACCAGTCGACTCTCAGCAAAACTATCTTCACCAGCCGGCTTCTGTAGCAGCCTTGGCTTAGTCCACAATACGATGCTGCTGGTGACTCCAACTGAACACCCGGAGTATACGACTGCCGGTCGTTCTCGCGGTACCAGACCCTGTCATGCTCGAAGTTGATGGTTCCACCTATAGTCTCCATTGTAGTTCCTTTTCGGGGATACCTTATAGGATTCTAAATATGAACCCCCAAAAGGAACTACTTTGGGGCCTACGGGTAGGTTTTGCGGTTGGGTGTTATTCCTCAGGGCTTGCATTGCCATCGCCAAGTTGTCGCGAGCGAAATGCTACACAAAGTCTCAGTATAGCTGGTGGTTCGTGCAACGCTGGTCAACAACGCTTCAAACAGGGTCCTTAACAACGTGACCATCCATATAATACATATTTGAAGGAATTAAGGGGATGCTACAGTACTCGCTAGCCCCCTTGAATTCTGGAGCCTGGGTTGATCAGGACGGCTCAGCAGACAAACAACGCAGGCAACGCACGTTTAAGGTTTTTTCCCACCCTAGGGTTTAGGGTTTAGGGTATTATCAGGTGGTATGAAGGCAAGACCCGGTTTCATGTGTGGTGCAGCTTCAAGGACCACCTGCGGTCTGCTGCTTGGGTGTTGGCGCGGTCCCCACTTCAGCCTTCGAGTCACAACTCATGGGAGCTGCCATCAAACAGCTGGTTTCGCACGTCCGTTCCTTGAGCTCCAGCAACTGGAGCGCATCACAGCCGCGGACTTCTAGCCGGCGGCGACGCTTGCAAAATCCGTTCTTCTCTGTAGGAAGCGGACGTGTACGGACATCGATGGCATGTTCTGCTGGCGTTCCCTTGTTGCCGACCCTCAAACCCCAAAGCCCAGTTTAAGAGCTCTACACACACCCAGAACTTGAAAACCCTGCCACTGCTACGCAAAAGCAGAGTGTTGAATCGCCTTCGCTAGGCCCGTCGTGAAGGTTCCGGCCGGACACTGCGTAGGGCGAATGCTGGCCTTGGATTTCGAAGTTTAGGGCTTCGGGGTTTTGGCTTTAAGGCTTTAAAGCTTCGGGTTCAGGGCTTTGGGGTTTAGGGGGTCTAGTACAGATTTAGGCTTAGGGCTTTGGGGTTTTGGATCTCGTAAGGGCTCGGGTTACCTAAATGGGTTACTAACCAGATGATTAACATGTAACCCAGCAACCCAATGTTTAGGTAACTGGAGCCTCCGGGAATTGGGGTTTCAAGGAGCACTTCTAATCTCTCTGTCTGGACAGAGACATGCAGTGGAACCATGTTTAGGCTCCAAGTGTTTGGAGCCTTTTCGACTGATTGCGGCTGCCATCTGCCCCGCCACAATGCGCGGCAAACCCTAAACCCTAAACCCTCACCAATTTTCCAACATGAGCGAGCGGCAGGGGCCTTACCGCGGGAGGGACGCGTTCTGAAAGCTATCGATCATAAACTATCTAGGGGCCATGGGGGAATATTTGAGCCCTAAGCCAAAGCCCAGTGTCGTTGGGGCAGAAGGCGGCTGCGGGACAGGCCTGGCAATCCGTGTCTCCGACCTCGGGTTCATTATAGGGTTTCAGCACTCGCAACTGGGAACAAGCCTGGCGAGGACGAATTGTGTTTAGGGTGTCGGGCTTTAGGGGTTTGGGATTTGCTGATGTTTCTTACTGGGTGCTTTGTGATTTTTGAGCTCCTTTTTCGTGACGGCTGCTCCGGTCTCTGTCATAAGGGTGTCGGGCATTAGGGCTTATTCTTGCTAAGGCTACTCAACGGAAGCTCATTCCTGCTCGAGGGTCTTGGGCTTGTGGCAACTACACGCTTTAGAGGGCTTAAGTTTTTCGGAAGTCCCAACACATCATCAAACATGCCTGGAAAGGGACTTCTTGATGCAGTGGGGGCGATGGATGGGTAGGGCGGGATGACCCTAACTCTGAGTCTTGCAGGCGCAACGCCCCAAATCCGGGACAACAACGACTCGCTTAACCCCTGTCTCAAGCACTGACGTTGCGCAAAGGCTCCTTTACACCCTATAAGACTTGAACCGCTTAGTAATAGTAGCCTTATGGTAACTCTTCAATCCCCCTTGAGACTTCAAATCTCCCGATGGACTCTAGGAAAATTCGGGCTTCGGCATTTGGGGTTAGGGAAATTGTGTAGGGGTCTTTCATCGGTTTGTCTGTCGCAACCTACATCCCGGAGGCAACGCAAGACATCGTAGACCTATGCCGGTCCGATCCTCAAGTCGCGGGCTGCGATCGAAAGAATGGCATCCGGAATCCGAACTCTCCCCACGCCCCCGAACAAGGCTCCAAGGTGCCCCAGACACAGTGATGTCCACCCAGCCCGTGGGAAGGAAGGTGCCAGGGTATGAGCCTTTGCGAGATCGTGTGGGTTGAGGCAAGGGTTGGGGTCTCTGCTACGTACCTCGAAGGGCAGCAAGTGTCGAAACTCACATCCCGCCGAGGAGCCATTTCCTGCCAGGCCGGTGGTGTTGCCGAAGCTGCTTGCGGGGCATTCCAGTGGCTGCACCTTTTTCTGCAACAGCCCTTCTTGAACCCAATACAGGTCAAGAACGCGGGGATGGGCTTATGGGATTTGGGAAAGTGTACATGTTGTTTTGAAGCCTCTCGTGGCTCCGTATCCCGCAGCTTAGCCCTGTGCTTACCGCCCGAGCAAGTCTTACGAACACAGGTGACGACAAGGGACGGGCAGCATGGCAGGCTCTGGGAAAGTCACAAAGGCATGCACTCGAAGTCGTGGACACTGGGGATGCAAATAACAATCGCCATTGCTCATTAGCACAAAACCATGAGAGTCAATACCATAAACCAAGCATCAATAGCATCAAATCATACCCTGCTCAAATCACGCGCCTGCCACAGTTTGTAATATGTTCTGGCCTGCATACGTACTGCAAGCGCTGTAACAGGTTTTCTTTCTACATCACCACATTGTTGGTCATTTTGTAGGAGTGCTGTCCATGCATCCTGGGTAGAAGCATTGCTAATTGTTGTGCTGTGGCGCGCTATGTATGACTATCTCCGCTTTAGCCATTACAAGCGAACCGGAAGCCATGTACTAGCCTTCTCTGGCTTCAGTGCTTCGACCTTCGTCGTGCCTTCTGCTTGAGGCGAGATGCTGTGCCGAGCTGGCAGTAGTGGCCCACAGTGCAGTTGTTGCAGTCCTCGCAGTCAGCCGGGAGTTGGATGTCAGACGCAAGACCGATAGCTGATGGGTAGTGACCAGCAGATATACAAAAGCAGAGAGAGTGAGAGAGATAGATAGATAGATAGATAGATAGATAGATAGATAGATAGATAGACAAATAGATAGATAGATAGATAGATAGATAGATAGATAGAAAGAAAGTAGCTCCCAGCCGTTGTGCAGATTTCGGCCCCACTACTCCGAGCGAAGGGCCCAGGCGACACGAATAGCATGACGAGTCCTTCGCCGGAAACCCTTGAACCAAGGAAGTCCAGCCGCAAGCGGCTAGAGTGAACCCCGAAAGCTTCAAGAACTCCGGTAAAATGCTGCTCCCTGGCGTCAAGCCCAAACTAAACCCTGCCTAGGCCCTCCGAGCCTAGCCACAGGCAAGCATGAAGACCCCTTGAAGGTCCGACTCGGACGTCATGCCAGGAAAAGAGACGAAGGTACCCGGAGAACATGGCACAGGACTCCCTGTGGCCTCAGTTCTGGGCACTACTTTTTTTCTGGCTACATCTTCTGTCACACGGGTGTCTCCGAAAATAGGGGACCCTAATATAGTACCCTAAAATAGTAGGATCCTTATAAGGACCCCCAGAATAGGTACCCCTAATTTTCGGAAACTCCCATACACTATAAAACCCTAAACCCTAAACCCCCTAAACCCTAAACCCTAAACCCTAATAAGGTACCCCTAATTTTTCGGAAGCTCCCATACAAGCTTAGGCCGACTGAAGCCGGCCCAAAGTCGAGTCGAGAAGAACGGACACTCTTATAGAAGCACTTTACAGGTGGGTAGTTACAAGGTG